TTTCCTGCATTTTTTTCCTTAAACCAATCCATTGACTGTTGATGAGTGTTGGACAAATCATCTCCCTGTTGCCGTTGGATCTGTCCCGTGTGCCTTGCGAGGCAACAATTCCTTCACGTTCTTGGCTTCCTGGCGGGTCAAGCTACGGCACATCTCACGGTGGTTTTTCCTTCGGAAATTTATAGGAAACAAATGCTGCCATGTGTATATATACATATTTAATAAATAAATAAATATATATATATATAAATAGCATATAGCATATACATATATATATATGTGTGTAATTTGTAAATATGTAATAATATGTGTGCATATATATATATACTGTATATATATAATGTGCACATACAAACACAACAATATATTTCTCCCCGTTGCCATCTCCAGAAGTCGAAGGCTCAAGGAGAGCCACATATGCATATTATTTTTTCAAGTTCGAGAACAAAGTTACTGACATTGTTTGGACAAACATTTCTGGCAGGGGTTTGCTGGGTTGATCTAAGCTTATAGCTGTCATCGAGGTATAGAAGCGAACCTCTGAAGCCAATGATTTCAAAAGCAACCATTTGCTGTGCATTAAATCTGAATATAATTTGTTTGCAGTAAGTGACATGAAAGGAGACAACCTCTCACAAAGAGCACAGGACACCACAAACCATAGACTAAAGCAACCAGAAGAAAGATCTCACAACATCACAACAACATAGAAAAAACATGCAAAAACACAAATAATTAGTATTGATTCATAGCAAATCCAAAACCTGATGTAAGTATATGTAAGTCAGGCAATCCACCTCATGCTTCTCGCAGTATACTGTGTTACACTGTCACTGACTCACTACAGTATGGCCCACTATGCAAACCTACATTTAGTTTGATACCGCACAGGGAGGTCAAACAGCAAACTTTAGAAAAATATAGAAACAGGACGGGGTACTAAACACATCCCATCCCAGTGCCCTTTCCATGTGGAATATGGACGGCAATGCGATGGAATGTTAAGATCTTGAGATCTACCCCCAGCACAAACCGGAATCTTAAATAATCTTAGGTGATTGATATCACGTGCAGGATGTTGACATATGATTGTTCATGATCTGAATACTTGAGAATCTTGAAAATAAAATGGAAACCATAGTACATCATCATCATCATCATCATCATCATCATCATCGTGAAATGGGTTTCTTATCATTGATGATGAACCATCCCATTTGATACTAACATTATTATAGTAAAATCGGAGATTTCATCAATTTCATCACTGCTGATTGATGAATGTCGTCCCAGTCGTCTCACCTCCGCTGGTGCTGAAGTCTCTGCCACTCGAGCCGCTGCCGTCGGTGCGGTCGGTGCCGCCTTACCTGGCAACCCAATGCCATACACCTATCATTTGGGGATGGCTTAAATATATTTAAATATCTTGTATCCTAGTGAAATAGTGATGGCTTGGGGATTGTTCATGGTGGTTTACCACATTACAACTATCACAATTCATGGCCATGTCATGTTCCAATGATGATGTACCATTCGATTTTGACTTGATTCAAAACGCGGGAGTTGGGGTACCCCAATCTTTGGCAAACCCATACCAAAGCCTGGCATAAGAGAGCTATGTTTTGCCTTCTCAGTGTCCATGATAGTTGCAGGATGCTGATTTATAATCCAATCGAACCGGGACAGAAACAATTACAGGGCATATAATGACACAACTATATTGTAGTAGTATACATAGCTAGGGTTTACAGGGATTAGTTCAGTCACTCGAACCAGCCCATCATGGCAAAGTAAATACCGTGCCGCTGCCTGGCACAACCACAGGCGCCGGAGCGGCTGCAGTGCCTGCCGCGCCGCGCACGCGGCGCTTCTTCCAGGGCGCGGCTTCGCCAGCGGCGGCTTCATCCTTGGCGCAAAGGTGGCATTAAAAAATGAAGAGATATACTGTACTAAAACTATTCAATGTCAGGGGTGAACTAAGTCTTGTAAAACCTGGCTTGGTAGGCCCAAGTCAAAATCCAGCAACCATGTGTTTTTTCCTCAAAATCGTGTGCCGATATGAAAATGGTGATTAAAAAGAACACCCACGAGAATGAAGGTAGCCTCCGGCAATCAAACATGGCCTGCCAGATTTTTCACATTTTGTTCGATGTTTTTTTCCATTGAAACCTCATGAAACCTCCATATTCATAGGGGATGATTGATCATTTCCTGGTTCCCAGTCAAACACGTTTGATTCTTCCAATATATCCCCATGAAATGCCTCTGAATTCCCATCAAACCCCCATAAATTCCCATTGATTATGATTAAACCGCCATTTCCAAAGCCTGTGCCCGGCCTTGGGCGGTGACACGGGCGAAGGCACTAAACTTGCAGCAGCCTTGGCGGGGAGGAACTGCGAAAAAATGGCGATGAATGCGAAATGGGTCAATCTTAGCCTGCAATATCTATATTGGTTTATGAGGGTGCAATCTATAACAGGATTGTAGCTGGGCTATAGTTGGCTATAATGGTCCAATATTCCATAATATTCAATATTCCCAACTCTATCCAACTCCAGCCCAACTATGCACCATGTATATATATATATATACTAATTAAATCTTCAGAAGCTAGCCTCCTGTAGACGAACATAGATGTGAACCCCCCACCATTTGTAGATTGTTTTCCTATGTACTCCTAGCAAAACCATGAATTTTCGATATCTATGTAAGTTTACTTCAGGATCCAGGGCAACTATGAAAAAGACAAAGGGATTTACACAATGGGCTTATGATGGGATATAACAGCATTGGTATAGTGGGACATATGGCAGCCTGAGCCCGCAGCCATAGATATAAAGGGTGAACATCTGGCAATGATGAAAGAAACATCATCTCTAACCTTCCTGAAAAACTTAAAACATGTTTCTACCTTTTTTGGGGGTCACCATAATTTGCGGTGGTTCATGGAGTTTAGTAGATGTTCATGGGTATTGTCGATGATTGATTCTGCATTGTTGGATGTGATGGTATTCTGCACGAAGGAGGGCACCAAAAAGCACGGTTAGACAACTTTTTTTGCGCAAAGGAGAGCGCTGCATGAAGGAGAGCACCAAAAAGCACGATTTTTTTGCAGGAAGGAGAGCACCAAAAAGCACGATCTTTTGCACGAGGGAAACACGCAAAACAAAGTCTGCCCAAAATATGACAACCTTTTACTAACTCTTACATGCCATAGAGATTCAGACATCATTTGCACTAAAGATCAATCTGTACAATCGTACAGAAGCAAGGGACCAGTCATTAAGCTCTCCTGTCTGTTCTCGTGTTTGTAGCCCACAAAGAAGCCCACGTGCCACGTAAGGCCTTCGCTATGGTTGTCTTATCCCAATTCCTGCTGTGATTTGCAGTTTTTCATGGATGTTACTGGTAAGGGACCATCCTTGTAAGTGAACCAACCATGGAACCATGGTTGTGAGCCACGCTGGAAATTCTTGGGATGCTCATGCAAGTAAGAATTCAAGGGGGCCCATTTCTTTCCTCAACCTGCCTCAAGGAAAGGGGAAAAAAACAAGGGGACCTCTCTGTTCACAGACCCTTTGCAAGCCCATAAGAAAACTGGATCATGGCCGAATACTAGTTCACATGTGCATACATAGTGCAAATAAATCATCGGTCTAATTATCCCAATAACTACCAACTTGTCATAACTTACCCATATTGTTGCAAGCTCAAGGAATTCTCGTCCGACAATAAGAGGCCAAACTTTGATACAATCGTTGATTCAACGTACAACATATGGGTTCCTACCACATAGATAAACCGTAGCTAGCAGTTCATTTGGATTTTGAAACAAAAATCATTCATGCGTATAGGAAAGGGGCGGCCTTGAGGGAAGTCCAACTTGAAGTTCGATCACTTTGTTATTCCCTTCTGCCCCCGCCAAAAAAATGTTTTAGATTGGATCTGCAGCAAGTATTCATTGTGAGGTCCCACATTGGGGGTAATTGATCTCATATTTATAAATTCATATTTATGATATTACCTTTTCAACATGGTTGAACCATCTTAAGCCTCCATTTTTGGTGGTGAAGCCTCTTTAGTATTGGAGGGATGGGATTACTCATGGCTCCTTCCGCCCCGGCACTGATGCGTCCACGGTCTCCTGGGACATGCGCAGGGCGCAGGAGGAATTGGACATACATTAGAAATTCATGGAGGGTTCTTATCTTGATAAGAATGGGAATATCACCAATATTACCAATAAGATAATTATGTCTCATATGTATTTCCAATGGAAATACACAAGCAATCGGGGGCATGCTAACCAACTTAACCACAAGACATTGGAATTGCTGGGTGAAGCTGCTCTAGGGTGACCTCCTGGGCAACGTCTTTGATACCGAAAAAGGTTCAAATAGAAAAAAACAACAACCATGCAGTTTATGTTTAGAGAGCAGAGGTACTCCAATTGTAGAGTGGAAACTGGCAGGTATTTTTTCCTGGGTCTGGATGTGCCCACTCATAGGCTGAGGCAAATCAAAATGTGAAGTCATGGGGCCTGTCCAACTGATGACTGGGGACGATTTAATGATCAGTGCCATTCACACTATGGAGATATTTGCTTCGCATTCAATATGCAGATTAACAGAAATACAAGGATATAGGTATAGGTGCATAGCATATTATGAATATGATCCGTGCATACGTATCTTTGAAAGCACGTATGCAATTGCAGAAATGCAAATGGACACGCACATATTATATGGTCATATAGGTGTAAAGATCTATATTTGCAGACTACCTGCATGAATCAAATAAAACAACTGAAACCAATATCATGATTCCTGTGTATCTCTGAGTCAATTATAATATTTCACTAACCTGATTTACCCCTTAATTACTATTCCAGTGAGGTTACATTTAGGTCACTATGATTTACCCAAATATATGTATTCCCATGTTCCCAAATTTATCTAATAATCACTCGGCGAACCGCGGCGCAAAGCACGCCATATTTTTTCTCAGCGGTGACACTTTTTCTTCACATCTTCGCGCGCTCTAGGTCATCCGCGGCGCCCAAACGTTTCCTGACCGCTGGGAAAATGATTTTAAACCAATGGGTTTATATAGATATTTTAGATGGATCTAACCTCTGGAAATCATTTTCCATTTGGATGTAATATCATTCAAATACCCCTAAATCCATCTACTACCATCTGGTTATTTAACATAGCCATGGAAAATCCCTTGTAAATGGAGGTTTTCATGGGAAAATCATCTGTAAATGGGCCATTTTCCATAGCTATGTTAAATAGCCAGGGGGTAAACCAATTATTTGAGGGATCTGGTTATTTAACATAGCCATAGCCATGGAAAATCACCATTTTCAAGAACGGTAAACCATCTATTTCTATGGGCCATCTATACCATGGCTATGTTAGTCATGACCAGAGGGTATCCTATTTTCACACAAAGCCATAGGATCTAACCTCTGGAATATCCTTCCCTAAAAACCCAAACAATGGGTTCACCGAGGTTGACCGAATGCCGTCGCCAAGGGAGTTGTTCAGCTCCGTATAACTAATATAACTAAGCTATCGTTCGTCTCTTGCTGGTCTAAACTTCCAAGTGCTTCAACCCTCATTATTGCTGTTTACAAAACCCGATTTCTCATGTTTTTGTCGGTTCAGGTCCCACGTTCCCCTGGCTCAAAACATATTAATCACCCCTTTTGCCAGTTAAATCATCATGTTAAATCAATATTTTCTCAATTTTCTTTAGTTCCCACATGTTGTCGCTTCAATTTCATGTTGGTTTAACGCATGCATTTTCTTGATTCAACCGCAAGATTGTCCTGGTGAAAACGCCGTAAAACGATCATGTGGTTGGGAAACACGTGGCAATGCAAAATCCACCAGGAGGATTTTCCCACCTATAAAGCGACATTTAGTTCGGGGATTCCCCACCAGCCACATTTGATTAGTTTCCATTCATATCCCCATGATCTCCCTATCAAAAACCAATTTTGTTTCTTAGTTGAATCCCATACCCTCTGGAACATTTCACAGTTTGCTATTGAAAATGGCCATAGAAATAGTCGATTTACCTATTAGAGATTGTGATTTTCCAGTTTTTTGGGTATGTTTTCCCAAGGTTTTCCCGACTCCGCCGCTTTAAGCCCGTTCCAAGGCACGCTGGGTCGCCGTTCGAGTCCTTTCCCAGCTCCACCACGGCAGCACCAGAGAGCACCACGGTGGAGCCCAGCAGAACGAGACGCGAGAGCTGCTCCCCGAGGAAAGCCATGGAGATGGCGGCCACACAAATGGTGTTCCTTGGAACGGCCAGTTCAGGAACCGAACTTATAAATATGCTCGGTCTTAGAGTCTCATATGGTCTTATATGGTACAGTACCTCCATTTTAGGATCCTGAAATTCCCATTGATTGGATGGCTTTGGGCTGGGATGGTTGGAGCTGGGAAGATTGAGGGAAAAGGATAGGAACATTAATGTTGAGATAACATCGATAGTGACATCTGAAAAAAATGGGATTATTATAAAGCATATGTTGGAAGATTTAAGCACATACTGATAATTCAGAATTATAATATGAGGATGATGCCTTGAATTTGTTCTATTTTTGGGGAAGAATACATACATTTGCTTCAGCACAGCCTGATGTAGCATCACAATCTGTTTGTTGGCTGGAATGGCTTTGTTAGGATGGATTGGATGGGGTCGACGTGGTGAGATGTTGTGAGATGCTTTATCATGTTTGAAGAAACTGTGCATGTCAAACTTAGTTTATCTGGCGGGTGTTTATTTGGAGCCGCCTTGCAAATGTGAAAGGCATGATCACAAGGAGGAGAAGCACACAAAAAACATCTTCACACCAGGTTGGTGGAGCGAATTAGTTCAAATCATGTTTTAGTTGTTGCTCTCAAAATATCAGGGATTTAACTGCCAGGCATTGATCATCATTGATCCATAGACATATCACAGATTATATCATAATTAGGCCAAAAATGATTCCCAAGGGATATTCTCCCACTATTGATTTATATATATAATTCACTATAAAACCAAATAAATATATATATATATATACATTAACATATACATTAAATATCTATATATACAGTACACATACACATCTCCATTAAAAAAAAAAAAACACGACTGTCCAGCCCCAGCCGGGCTTCAGCTTTCCAATGATTTGCTGCGAGCTGGCGCCCAGCCTAAACAGCGGTCCGTCACAGTCGAATCGGATCGGGAATGGCGCTGAAGATTAACAGCGGTTAATCATTGTTAAATAATGGTTATTGAACATAGCCATGGAAAATGGCCCATTTATAGATGGTTTACCTATTACAAATGGTGATTTTCCATTGCCATGTTAAATAACCAAATGGTAAATAATGGTTATGATTGTTATAATTATGGTTAATGCTTAAATAATGGTTATGATGGTTATATAATGGTTGATAATATTGGTTATGACAATTCTGGTTAAACCAGGGTTAATACCCTTTGGTTGATGATGATGATGATGGCTATATAATTTATTCTTTTTAGTTGATTTAATAGGTAAGTAACTTTGGAAAATCACCATCTGGTTGTTGGTTGAAGATGTGTGAACATTGTTATTTGATTGACGATGGTTAACCATGGTTGATACTGGTTAAGTATTGGTCGGTGATATTCATGAAAATGGTTAATCATTGTGTTATGATGGTTTAATAATGGGTAGTCATGGTTGTCTAATAATGGTTAACCGTGGTTAAAAATGGTTCAATGGTTGATAATGGTTAAGTAATGGTTAATAATTGTTGATAATATGAATGATGATGGACGGTTCATAACATTGTTATGATGGTCTAATAATGGTTAATCATGGTTAAATGGTTGATAAAATGAATACCCTCTAGTAATTTAACAGTTTGCCATTGAAAATGACCCATTGAAATGGTCAATTTACCGAACTTAGAGATGGTGATTTTCCATAGCTATGTCGGTTTACCAGAGGGTAATGCATACTAATATACATGATATCCCTAGAGTACCTAGAGCTCCAAGCACCAACACTACGGTTCCTAACACAGCAGTGATCTGCGATGGGTAAAATGACTGGGATTCTCGGGGGAAACAACAAAATAATCATCTTCTGTATAGTATGCACGATATGTATATCATGACTACACATGTAAATATCAACATATATAATTACATATATATATATATATAATATACAATATATATATATATAGACATACATATAATCATTGATATAATGTGGTACTTATTCGCAAATCCAATATGTCTGTCTGTCTCTGAATCATATTGGATCCCCGTACGGTCTTGAAAGCTATAAAAAAAAAGTCTCTATATAGATTTTGAAACATACCATCTGGTTATTTAACATAGCCATGGAAAATCACCATTTGTAATAGGTAAACCATCTATAAATGGGCCATTTTCCATGGCTATGTTGGTCATAACCAGAGGGTACCTCCATGTTCTGTTTGGTGGTTTAGCTTCAGCCAATACAAATTCGCTACAAATTCCAGGTTGGATCCATCCAGGCTTGACCCAATGTCAAACCCCAACTCGTCAACTCTGTTGATAAAAGAACTAGGGGTACCCTCTGGTTATTGAGCATAGCCATGGAAAATGGCCCATAGAAATAGATGATTTACCTATTAAAAATGGGTGGCTTTTCCATGGCGAACTGTTAAATAACCAAATGGTAACACACCCAATGTTTTGGGAGAAAATTCTGAAGTGATGCTTCTCTTTGTCTATTGAGGGTTGAGATTAACCATCATTAACCATGATTCACCAATGGTTTTCATGCTTTTTACTAAGCATCATCCACCTGGATCAATCATAATCAAATCTGAAATCTTCAGTTAGGAAATCCAGATTATATTATTTAGGATTGGTTATGATCAGTTAGGATAATCTGAAATCAATCACTAAGCCCAATCCTAATGATGCCAACCTCTCTCTCCATTTATCCAGATCTGTCCCCATGAGACCACCATTTTTTGTTGAAGAAAAAATCACATTTTTTTCACCATTTACATCCATTTACCTATCATGTATCATCAAAGAATCATATCAATCCATCATATCAACCATGTTTTTCACTAACCATCACTACCACCTTTTTGGGGCATCCTACATCCTACCGGGTGCAGGTAGGTTTCCCTCCACGCGTCGTCGTTGTTTCAAGGAGCTCTTTGAGCGCGAAGATACCCGCGAAGTTCAAGGCCACGGCCGAGACGCACGTCACCAAAATCAGCCCACCGGTCTCAGGGGGATTTCAGTGTAGATAGATTCATAATAGGCTTTTGTTGATGTTTTATTCTTTTAGGGATTAGATTTATAATTAGCAGGGTTTTTTGATGTTCTTTTTTTGGGGGGCTATCGGATTGAATTGTGAGACCCCATTTATATAAACAGTTTCAAACAACATGTTCGATTGCCATGTTTGGTTGCCAAAGGGTAAATAAATGGACATACGCAATGTATAACTGTAAATATATACATATATGACACATGCCGTGTACATTCTGGGTGTGGTGTGCATGATGTGAAATATATGAAATATGATGCATTATACTTGATGTATAGTACATGTATGACATATACATCAAGCAATGGGATTTGCATGCTACAATGGTTGCATCCCGACAATTCATGTGATGTGGCGATGCAAGCACATAGAATGGGGGGTCAAACACCAAAATATAAGGGGACGGCGGAAAAAAAATGTAGGTGCCGGCTGTCCAATCTATCCCGATCCAAATGTTGACATTCACATGCAATTCCAACCATATATTCTCATGATCATGTGTCCTTGTCTTCGGTCATTTAGAGAAAAAACATAATCCCCAGAGGTGAGCCTTCCAATGATAATCATGGTAGCAGCGATATGATCGATATGCTTATTGTTATAATTTATATAATATACAATACAAATATAAAGAATCTTTATGAATCTTTATTTGAATCCTGAAACGACATTGTGTTCTATAAACCTGACAATTAATGGTTTTTTGGTTGTTAAGAATCCCATTTGGGACATGCCAACCGCCTATTCGATGCAATCATGGCCATCTGCCCAGGCCTCTGGCGTGATATGCTTCAGTGCTGCTGGGATGCTTTCCTTACGTCGTGAGCTCGCTCTCCAAGATGCCATGTAAAATTTTACATGGGCCCCATGGGCGCAGAAGCCAACAAATTCCGCCAACAAAAACTTGGATTGATTGACCCAAGTTTTTGTGATTAAAAAACACCAAGAATATGGAGACATTTTGTGATTAAAAAACATATAACAACATACACAACCAACAGAAAACTGGGTCCCGGTTCCATGATGGCTCCTGATTTAGGGTTTCGAACTTGGGATTTAGACAAAAACTGACCACAAATCACATCTCTTCGCTTGCACGTGCATCTTAGGAAGCCTAAGTGGTACGGTAAATAGTCGTAAAATCTCATAAGCCATATATTTCTAGTGGGATTCATATGGATTCATTATGATTTCTATTGATTTATATTTTTTTTGTTTGAACCTAACCAGTGCACCCATCACTGACCCTATGTCCCATATCCCATGTCGAACTTCGAGGGGCCGTTGCCATGGCGAAAATCACCGCGGTGACGAAACACCAGGGCGCCTGCATTGAGTAGAGCTCCATGGGCGACAACGGGCTGCTGGAAGCCGCTGATTGATAGTCCTTCATGGTGATTGAGCCCGGGGGGGTTATCATTGGATTGGTTTTCTTGGGAAAATCTTCACCAGAAACATCCGGAAACCATGGTGAAACACCATCAAATGGGGTTTCTGTAAATTTTGCTTTGAAATAATCCAATGATTTTAGGGCTGATTGTGAAATGGTTCGTGTTCAAACTAATCGGCAGAAATGGTAGATGCATGACAAATGTTACCGAACATAGTTATCAGCATGGTGGTCTCGACCCCAGTGTAATAGTATCAAAGAGTGGAACCATCATCACCAACTAATACCATCCGTCCAACCCTTTGATCATCTCCCATAGGGGACGCCTGCCTGTTTCCACGCGAAAACCATGGGCACCCAAAAGCCAAAACTAGACAATATTAAAAGGTGTTTAGATCCATATTCACCCAAATAATGGGAACATATATGTAAAAATTATGTAAACATATTCAGATTTATAGATTTAGCATGTCACCATGTCTTGAGCATGAAGTCAGATACTGAGTCTTTGTTTTGCCTCCATTTCTTTACCAACTGGAACCTTGGGATCTTCAAAAACCCCAGAAACCAACGGCTGACCGATTTTCCCATCCCACTAATTGGGTGTCCAGTAAGTTGTCCCATCAACCAAGTCTGGGATTCATGACATTTGTCCATTCTGAAATTGGTGAAAATATATGAACATATGGTAAAATCCCTAGTTTTTCTTGGTTAAATCATGAATATGTATAAGTCCCAATTTTTCTTGGTTAAATCACAATGTTTGTTGGTTAAATCACCAACTATCGAACCGACGCCGAGCCGCAGTGGGCGCCATAAGGAAGTCCATGATGACAATCTTCAAGGACCGCGCCCCCACGGAAGCCAAGGCAAACAACACACCCAAATACCAGCCACTATGGTTGGCCACCTGGATCGCATTGACCTCCCCAAAGGCGATGAGCAGGGCACCCGAAAAGGCAATGAAAATACCTCCCGGCCGTGGAGAAGGCAACCTCAAATTCCCTTGGGAAAATGGGAAAATGGGGAGTTAACATGAGTTAACCATGGAAAATGGTGGATGAATATGGATGAATGGGATGTTGTGGGGGCAGCCGCTCTATGCCGCTCTCATCCTTTTTGATCTTGACGGAAACAAGAAAAACATTGACACCTAGCATCTTGAAACGTAACATGACATGATGCTTTCAAACTGAAATCCAAATGCTGAAAACTCATTGAAAAATCAGATAACGGCATGATGATGCCTTTGAACATGCGGACATTTCACTGCCGCTATTGCCAGGACGCTTTCAGGCAACTGATGACTGCTGAACTTGCTGAACGTGGATGGAGATCTCCGGACATGGAGAGTGACTCTCTCTCGCTCTCTCTAAAATCATAATTTATATAATACTGGTTGGTGGCTGAGCCCTACCCCTCTGAAAAAAATATCAAAGTCAGTTGGGATTATGACATTCCCAATATATGAAAAAGTAAAAAATGTTCCAAACCACCAACCAGTATATGTATGTATGGGTTTTATATGGGTTGAAACAGCCAAGCTTCCTATCTGCTGCTGGCTTAAAACCTTGTGCTGCAGCATGGGCTTAAGAAAGAAAAACAACATATAATTGCTGGCTGTAACTAACATACCAAAACCATCCAACATTCCCACAGAACCAAATGGCTTCAAACAGTGTGATAGAGGCTAGATTAAAGTGAAACCAACCCCAAGAAGAACCAATGTTTCTTTTTTTCGCGTCTGCATAGTACAAACTGGGCGTTTTTAGACGCGGCAGAGGGTCCATTCCAAGAGACAAAGGAAAGGCGATGACCACAGATCCAACTGAAGATGGCCACCTGGGATCCGATCCCCAAAACCCGGTACCCGGATCCAACGGCACGGAGGCTTCGTTTCTGGCAAGTTCAGGGGGTTACTTCGGGATGTTTCGGGTAGGTTTAGTGTTGATTTATGTGTATTGATGGTATGTTTGGGAAATGTTTGGGATGTGTTCCGGGTTGTTTTGGCCTCGGCTAGGTATTCAGAAGAACAAGAACAAAACAAGAAGCAAAGCCAAAAGAGCATCCGGGAGAAGCAGCAAGAACCAGCAACTAGAAAAAACACAATAGCGAAAATGGATCTGGGAGACATGGATAGACCATGATCCCCTGCTGAAAGTTGACAACGGATTGACTTGGGGGGAGGTTCAACTCCCTTCAAACTATGGGTCAAATTGGAACACTTTTGACTTGACATGTTAGCTACTGTGCTGTCTTTAATCTGTTACTGCACCCAAGCGTGGCAAGTAGGGATGCGGAGCTGAACATAATTGAAACCGCCAAACATCTGTGCCAGGGTCAAGTTACATGGTATATGGATGTATATGAGGCCAAGATCGTCCCACTAGGCATTTCCTTTAATGAGGGGATGACCAGGGTCGGTGAAACCGGTCAAGATGGACGGTTTCAAAGTTCCCCGGAGCCCCTTGGGGCTCCGGCTCCAAGGACTTTATCTAATAGCCTTGTGCTTCGCGTGATATGGTTTATGATGGTTTATGATGGTTTATGATGGTTTATGATGGTTTATGATGGTTTATGATGATGGCTTATGATGATTTATGCGTTGATGATTTATGATTGTTTATCATTGCCTTTTTATGATGACTGCAACGACATACGTTACTAATAACATGTAATAAATGCCTTTTCATTGTGAGTGATTCATCATCCATTAACATCCATTTACCTAGTTAATTTCTGATGATTAGCATTACCGTGATATGGATTTTTTTCTCCAGCCTTCATCGTGGAACCAACTCCGGATCGGGTGACTAATAAACCCTATAGTCCTATAGTATCCTATAGTTACTATAGTTGTTTCTGGTTGTTGAATACATGAGTTCCCCAATCACATCTGTTTTATCTCCAGTTTTCTCATGTTTTCTCCCCATGTTTGATCGAATTCACCACCAATGACCACCAAAAAAAACACTCCACTGACCACAACTGGTCGTCCCAGACACCGAAACCGGCGACAGCGTGCCGACAATGGCGCACATCCCGGCGCCCACGTAGGTCAGCGCAGTATTGTTGAAAACCACCTCGCTTCAGCGAGGAAACCCCGAAAAAGAAACAGTTCATACGGGATTTGTGGATGCAACTCCTTTAAGGACAAACAACAAGATCAACAAGTACTGTACCTTATCACTATTTAGTAGGATTTTGCTGTTCTATCTGTTTGGTGGTTACTATATGTTACTATCATGTACATATGACAAAAAATGATTAGTTAAATAAGCAAACAATTGGACTTTGTCTCAACCGAATTCAGATTTCGTTGGTAAGAAAAATGGGGTATGGCATATTCTGGTAATCTAACCTGCAATGGAAACCGTCATGTTGCCACTGGGGAAAATCATCTATTGATAGATAATTTACCTTTGCCATGTTAAAAGGCCAAAGCATAGTAAGCATATATATATATATAGTAGATTTGTCCACTGCTTGTGGAAAGTTGCGGCTTTCAACAATCTCACAAGCAGCAAGAAAATTCACCATAAATGCTGGAAAAAGTAATCTTTCCAATGATGAGAACGATGCGTTTTTTCGATGCGTGACGTATGTTCAAATCAGCATGCCTGAAAAACGTACCGATATGCAATCCACACAAAATACCCTCTAACATAGCTATTGAAAATGGCCCATTTATAGTTGATTTACCTATTAAAAATGGCGATTTTCCAGAGGGTATCAGCACACAATAAAAATAAACAACATCATGTCATGACCGTACCCTAGACTTCCAAACACCTGAGAATGATCCCACATCACACTTATATAAATTTCACCGAATCTCAGGTGCTCTTTGGAAGTCTAGGGGGATATGATATGATCCGATGATCCGATGACGTGGTTACTGGGATTGTGAAAATTTCCCGTGAGATCTCCCATTGAATCACCATAAAATCACCATAAAATCTCATTGAATCATTAGTAATCATTGTAAAATCGCCATCAAAAGCCATCATAAATGTCATATGACATAAAATATATATTAAAATATCATAAAATCCTGAAATCACCACAACATTTCCCGTCAATTTCCTGGGTCAATTCGTACAATGTGCATATTTAGTGGCATGGATTCGCAAGACAACCCACCACGTATGGGGAGGTGTGGAAAAGAAAGCGCTGCCCTTGACGCAGTGGGCACCCGCACCGTGAGCGGATTACTCAAAGCTAAGGGGACGATGTTTCGCAAGAACCTGGGAGAAACAATGGGATGTAATGAAATTTATGGTGATTTCATGGTGATTTAATGGGATGTAACGGGATCTAATGGGATATAACAGGGTTTTATCATGATTTTAGGGTGATTGAATGGGATAACATGGGATTTCATAGGGGTCTATATAGAAGAATTTGTTGTTTTTTAATGAACATAATTGTCAAAATAATAGTTTGGGCGGCCCTCAGTGTTCCACATGTTCAAGGGTGGAACATTGTGTCGTGATGTGTCCACGTCCCTTTGAACCTTTGAACATGGGACGTTTGCATGGGAAAGTCTCGGAAAATGATGGGATGGGTGAGATGTGCGCAGCCAGTTGGTTGTCAGGGACGTATCCATTAACAAATATGGAGGTGTCCCAAAATGGAAGTACCCTAAAACGATAGGTTTCAATAGTAAAATGGTCTAATTTTAGATGATTTAGGGGTACCCCGATTTTAGGCAACACCCATCATTACAGCACAGCTTTTTGATCATGAGCCCCCCAATGATGGGATTCCCATTCTCATACTACCCCCATAGCCCCATACGATTCCCATAAGAAACCACACCACTGTATGACTGTTATGGAACAACTCTGGGATACTGTAGAAATCCTGCAGCAGTTGGATGGAAAGCATCCCATGATCCCATTCGTTGCAGTGTTTCATAGTTACCCTCTGGTAAACGTTTACAAAAAACTATGGAGAATCACAATTTTGAATATAAATCAAAAATAAATGGGCCATTTTCAATAGCTTTTTGTATCTTTACCGGAGGGTACCAACTGCTAGACCGGTGCAGATCTGCGGGGTCTCCAGCCGCTCAGCCCATCGCCCGGCTCGCCCAGCTCGCCCAGCGACCATTCATTCGAGCGATTGGAAGAAGTTTGGATGCTCCACCATTTGCTAAAGCCACTGGGCACCCAATAGGCACCTGACGCAACTGATGTCCACTGATATGATGATGTCTTTGAATCTTAATATGAAAAAAACTGCACCATAAAAGGAAGATATGTTAAACATTTAGAGTGGTAGCCAAGAAACTAAACTCATATGTGAACCTATCCAATAAGTCAATCTTAAGACCAATCAATCCACTTAAACAAGGTCATGGATGCTCATAACTTGGAGCCTCTGGAGCATCCCCAAGATTCCAACAGATTCCAAGCAACTGGATCGCAAACCACCAGCGAAAACATGTGAAAACAGAGGCAGGCAACACCAAAAGGGTAAGTTTAAGGATGTTCTTTCGGTGTTTCTGGGAAATGTGAAGAATCTAGGGAGCAAACTGCCAAACCAAAGGTAGCAGGTAGCATGATTGATCTAAGTTGATTTGACGTAAATCACAAAATAGTACAAGTAATCTAATACATACCAAACATATCCGATATATCCAAACTCAGCAACTAAATTTTGGGATCACTATGTCACTATGGATCACATGTGATCCACCGTTTAGCTGTACTACTCCCAGGCCCCATAGGTTTGTCCAACAGTAGGGTGCCCAAAAATCCAATGGTTTCTCGTTGTTTATCATCATTTTTCCACATCAACTCATCGTGGTGGATAGAGTCGCCGCTCACCTTGCGGGCAAGATGCAGCTAACTACCCAAACGCACCCAAAGTGAAGCATTGTCACCTCAACAGGACCAGGGTCAGGCTCCCCCATGGCCCCCTGCATTGGCGTTTTGCTTACAGACGCTGGCAAGTCACAAATCCCGGGTGCTTGTAGTGGAGACTTAGTCGGCTCATCAGAAGCTGCGTGGTGACCAAGCAACTCACAAAGAACATCGCGATGCCCTCAGCGAAACCCGATGCTGGTGGAAATAGTACCATAGATTCATGCAGACGTGATGAAAATTGCATAGCATATAACAAATTGATACAAATTGTAACATAGTATAATGTGGGTAAAGGTGATTTGGGATATGGATGGATATGGTTTATTATCGTTTTACTCATATTACCGATGATTGCCGATGATCCTGAAGTATACATGATCAGCGGGAACATGATCAGCGGCCACCGGCCTTACAGCCTGCAGGGGCGGGCCGGGCACCATGTGCCAGCATTGTTTGGAGGACCCAAAGTTGTGGAGACATGGCATCATTCAAAGCATACACACAAATATAAGACATAGTTATTGGTTTTCGAGATAATAACGCACAATAATATGTGTGAATACTACATATATATATGAACAAATAACATATAAATAACGCACCGTTGTAACCCCCAGAAAGATCATCCCAGTCCTGTCGCCAAGTTGCCACCACATATCCTCCACGTTTTCGGAGAATCATCGCAATGGCTGCGAAGATGCAGCAGGCCGTGGCCGACGCCAACACCTGCGCCTGGGCCGTGGACACCATGGCGACGCCGCGCAGGAACCGTGGCGGCGGAAGCCCGGGCGCAGGGCGCAGATCTTGGGCCAAAAAAGCAGGTGGGGCGAGTTTTCGATGAAGGAGGTCTGGAAATATAATGCAAATAAATAAATACATATATATATATAGTTATATAATATAATAATATGTTAGTGACTATAGCATGCTAGAGTTGATATTTGGATCAATCTTTTAAGACTCGAGTTTTGAATGGGATATGATGATATGCTGGTATACACGCAACATCGTTGAGTGGGAAAAGGGCTTGATTTTGCCAGGCGGAGTGATCCTGCAAGGCCAGGGATGATGGGACTAAGTACACAACCATCGTAAGTGGGGCTGACAAATGCTGACAACATATTTGTGGTGGCTCAAATGCCAAACACGACAACACTAGAAGAAAAAGGGCAGCAACTACATAACTACCACCAAACCATTATGTTCCGGGTGCTCATGATGGCTTCTCTAGCGTCATTCGCTGAACCCAAAGGGAATTGCAGATTCTCAGTAGGTTCTCGGTGGATGTCTCTGGTTGAAAGCCGTTTTATTGGCATTTGTTGCTCATCTGGGTTGCGCCCAAAGTTTCTTGGCCTCATTTGCACCCTGAAACATAACTCAAACATACTTAAATAGCTTAGACCAGGCTGCAAATTCATTTCATGGGGGAAATTGCTAGTGGAAAGGCAATTCAACTCGCCCCCGCAACTCCCCCAGATCCTGTGCTGGTTTTGGCGGCTTTGGCATTGCCTCTCAGCAGTTGAGACCATTGGTTTTGGAAGAACGTCTTGGTTGAAACGGGGGGACTCTGTGTGGAAAAAACATGGTCTTTAGTTTGTAAAATCCAGATTTCCTGTGGATTTCCCCCGACCTGTGAGGAAACAAAACAGTCAACATTGGAACACGGGACAACATAGAACACTCCTTACATTTAAACATGATATCCCGCTACAAAACAACAGTCTAGCTAGGGGGAAAAAAACATACGTTTGTATGGACAGAGAGAACACGTCAATTCCCTGATGCATCATCATGTTCCGTATTATTCACTGGATTTTACCGATAATGGGGAATCATACTCCAATTTCAGACATACCCAACTGTCATATTGGATCGTATTGGTACAGCTGCATCCCATTGAATGTATTGAATGTATTGAATATGCCCATGATGATTTCATGAAATCCATCTAAATCCCATAAATTCCCATAGAATCCCCACAAGATCTACCCTGAAAGACTCCGAGTCGTTTCCGCCTTCACCAATGGCTCTTCAGGTCGATCTGCCATCGAACCCCTCAGCTCAGTACAATCACAAACAACCAGAAGGATCATTGGGATATATGATACATGCGAGCTTGGTACTGTGTGTTTTACAGCCAACCAGGAATAGGGTTTGTCAAATATATATATATATGTGTGTGTGTTTATATTTTTCCCGGCTTGTTTATCCCTGTTCATAGATCCCGGCCCGCAGTTTTGACAATCCTTGACAATCCAATGTTGAGCATAGCCAGAGTGATCACCCAATTCTTGCCCTTGTAATTAGGCAAGTCTGAATTATGGTTGGTGATCCTGGGATGATTCTCCTTCAATAAAAAATCATCACCTATGGCCTATGGATGCTTATGGTGATGAAGCTGCCCGAAACTTACCATTATATCCCATCTGTTGTTAAAAACCGGGCCGCCTCCAGGAGACCATCGATATTCCATCATTTGTAGATCATTTCCACGAACATCGATGGTCCAAATATGTGATCTTTTCCGCAAAGTGATACTACATATACTTTTTAAGTTTCCCCATGTTGTTAAGGTTACCAGCCAGCTCTTTTCTTCAGAACTTTGCAAACAGAATCAGGGGGATTCCAGCAAGTCCACTGAAGGGTGACCCGGTGACCCTGATCACCGTGGTTGTTGTCGGTGGTTAAGATTGCCCAAGGTATGAACCCTAACTTTTTTTTGGTCACCGAAGTAGGGGGGGTTGGTAGGTACTAGTAACTACCATCTTTCATAAGATCACAACTATAGTCAACTACACCCCAAATATTGTATATAATTATACCTATATCCCAATAATATATGTAAATCACTGTAATTTTCATAAGCTACCCTCCTGTACACTAACATAGATGTGGAAAACCCATTATTTGTAGATCAAAGCACACCATATATCGGTCATGTTCCGAACGGGTTTCCCCATGGGTTTTCCACATCTTATTGTAGGTTTACCCTGGGGTAATACTGCCAGCTGATACCAAGAGTGCTAGTCATCCCATAATGTCCAAGTTACAGCCTTCGTCCGGCGGCTTTTAAGACCTGCACCCATGGCATAAGCAGCTCATGCAATGTACATAACTAAGAAAAATATAGACAATATATACTTTAAACATGTTTAAACATATATTTGCCCTGCATGCATGGTTTTAGATATACATGATTATACACGTATATATAATACAAACATGTAAGCATTGCATCTGAAGTCTGAAGTGAGGGCGGCAATATGCGGCAATAGCGATTTGGAGGTTCCAGCTCCATCGACACATGAAAAGGGCCTGCAAATTTGCATCTCAGGAACAATATAAGAAAATTGCTTGGTGACAGTCCAAGAACCATTGGGAACCAATAGCCTTTAAAAAGGAAGTGACAAGGAATGCTGCTTCATTGGTGTTCGCCACCTCCCCACCACAAGAGACCGGCCCATCAATGTTTCAAAATCCACCTGGAATGACAGATTTTGGCCTGGATGTGCAAACCGCACCTCATAGTGACTCATAGGTGTTAATTTGAGTGGTTGATTCCCATTAATTTACATACATATGTATATATATATGTATATATGTGTGCATTCTATTGGTAGTATACCATTATCTCAATTATCTCTTATTGAGAGATTCTCTTCTCTGTGAGAAACAGAATGCTTATGTAGGCGGTGTACGGCTATATGATATTGGCATCAAACAGTGGGGTTACACCTGCAGGAATGCACATCAAACTTGCAAAGTGTTGCTGAGTGATTCTTGTGGGTAACAAAGTCCATTATATACTGTAAGCCATAATAGCAGGAAATGGGTACATGTAATCACCCCTATAGGGCTGACATCAGTTACATCTGTTCAGCCGTCCCTGACTTGCCGTCCAGCCTTAAGAAATTTGTTCATTCATGTAGTTCTGCTTTTCTCATTAGGTTTAGTCATATATGTGCATATAGAGATATAGATATATACCGTGTATATAAGTGTCTTATTAGCTTTGCCTATGTACTTGCTACATATAGCTATATGTTCCCTGAATATGGCCTTACATATGCGTTTGTCTGCAAACAGGGCAACCCTAAATTCTAAATGCACTGTATCCTTATTATCCCTATTACAATGTTCCTTTTGGGGCCTATACTCCATTATCAAACACACCCATTTATCGTATCAAGTTGGCAGGCCATACCCCCAACATATCACAATCTATCCCCATCATTCCTCACCACATGTTCCCAAATTCCTTTTTCCGTATGTTAATTATAATCCACAGAATCCACAGTCCTTTTTTGTACAGACTCCATGGCACATGCCAATCATGCCAAACAGGATTTACCCAGTCATGCTGACCGCCATGGTGGATTTACTAACAGCAGGTTGTATGCCATTGTACTCCCATGGGTCCCAAGCTCATGAAATCTCATGTCCACCGTTTTGGCTGCTTACATCCGATGAAATCCCATGACATCCCAACAAACATCATCATAAACTCTCATAAATTCCTAAAATGCCATTCCCATCATATAAATCCCAAGAAATGTCCCATGAAATACCCTCTGGTAATTTCACAGTTTGCTATTGAAAATGGCCATAGAAATAGTTGATTTACCCATTAAAAATGGTAGTTTTCCATAGCTATGTAAACGTTTGCCAGAGGGTTTTTATCCGATGAAATCCTCATAAAAATCATCATACTCCCATAAATTCACCAAAAATGCAATTCCCATGTATTCCCATCATATAAATCCCATGACATGTCCATGTCCATCACGTCTGCCGCCTCCGGCACTGATGCGCCCAACTCCTGCAGCAGCTGTGAACTGCGTCGCTGGTGCTTGGCCGCCAGCGCGCGCTCCAAGTGTCCTGAGGATAGATGTTCCGATAGAGAAATAAGGTATACATATACCTGTAGTATAGGAGATGTTTATTTATATTGGTTATATGTTGTAAAATAGTATACTATAGGTAAATAATACATATACCTCCTACCTTATGTTCCGATAGGTATAGTATATAATATAACTATTGATAAATATACTAATAGATATATAGCTATGTGTTATCATATGTATAATATGTGACAACCTACTTGTTATAATATCATAGGTTATTAGTTTCCACAGGTTATATATATGATGTAAATATCAATGATCAATAATTATCCATTCATATCATATATTCTTTAAGAATTAATCAATCGTCCAGTTGGATTGCATCCAGTAAAATAAAAAAATGTTACCATCCCCCAGTCATCATTTTTTTTTACATACTCTTTGTTATGATATATGTTTACATATTAATGTACTTGTATGTATGGTTTGTAATGGTATGTCATGGTATGGCATGGTATGTGATGTACAATACATACATACGTACCGTGTAATTATATACATATATATATATATTACATATTTTTAAATATGCATATATAGATATTCATATACACGCAATTGGTATGTACAACTAGTGTTATAAAGTGTCGTTTTCAATCTGAAATTCCGCAACGGAGAATTGCATCGAATTTCCGTTGGTGCCTTTCGCCATGTCTCTGAGACGTTGAGCCTTGAAGACCATGGAGAGCTGACTCCGGGTCTGAGCCGTGGAACATCGTGGAACAACGTGGGTACCCTCTGGTAATGACTAACGGTTAGCTATTGAAAATGACCATAGAAATAGTGGATTTAACCCATTGAAAATGGTGATTTACTGGTTAACAATGGTGAATAATGGGATGACAATGGGATTTACCCTCTGGTAATTTGTTACATAGCTATTGAAAATGACCATAGAAATAGTGGATTGACCCATGGATAGCATGGTGATTTTCCATCGTTATGTAAACATTTACCAGAGGGTAAAACAATCATGAGCCAGCCATATGTTGGTGGTTTATGAACCCATCTATGGTGATTTTGGGGATGGTTTATTATTGGTTTACCCACATTAGCTGGGAATATCATCGAATTAATTGGACGATTTGAAACATTGCCATGTTTGAGTACCGGAGGGTAGCCACATGGTGGAAATTATTTTGGCAGGTTGCAAAAATTCCTGTGGCAACTTCAAGCTCGTCATAGAATATGCTTGATGTGAAAACATCCAGCTTATTTCCGTGTGAAAAAGATATCCCCGCCCATGAGGATTTCATAGGATTTCTCAGTGCCAGGTGAAGTTACCAAAGGGCAGTCTACTATCAATATTGAAGCACCAGTTGGTAAGCTCCTGGGTCTCAAATGCTCATTTGGAGGTTTCCTAAAATGGATGATATGGGGGGAGGTAACCCGTGGTCATCCTCATTTCTGAAATCCCCAATTATCTGATTTGATCTTTCTACTTTCCTTACTCGGACTATGTCTTTCAACACCATGCTACAGTCTGCTCCCATGCCATCATGCCATGCTCCGCCATGCTCCGCACCTTGTTTTGCATCAGCTTGCACCGTTGCCCTTCGGGCGGGTTCCGCTCAAAGTTGGGCGGGATGCCGATCCCATGGCCGTCCTGGCGGGTGATGACTTTTCGGAACCTGCAAAGGTGACCCAAAAGCAAAAATTGCTCAGGGCGTATTAAGATATATTCAGGGCATATTGAAGACGTATTAAGGGTTTAATATATTTTAATATGATATGGTTTAATTAGTGAAATGATGCCCCCCCCCGAACTTCACATGGCCTCCCGAGACTTGACCATTGTTTAGCAAAACCAGGCTCCAAATCATGGCTGGAAATGATGTCTGTAAGCATAATATAGCAGGCCGTCTTGGCCACATCCAATCTCATACACAAAGTCATGAAGCAGTTTCAATGTACCCTTTGATAAAACTACTTGGCAAAGGAGAATGGATATCTATCTACCTATCTAATCCTACCTATCTGCACCAAGATCAGCCCATCCCGTTCATCCATGAACCATAATTCACCACAGCTTACCCAGTTTCCCCCGTTTGCGTTTTTAATCTTCGCCTTGTTTTTATTAGGCAAAACAAAAAACAATCCCAAAAAAAAACTGTTTTGATTATCAAACACCCCGGTCAAGGTATGACATCTACTAGTATTCATTTTGGCTTTGTGATTGAATGTATATAATATTAGCCATTTACATAACATTATATACATATATATGTGTGTGTACACAATGATGCTTGTTGGCTAAACAACGATTGTGCATCATTACGTTCGGGTTACCCATTACATCCCACTATACCTCCATTACATACCACTAAATCCCCCTGAGATCCCACATGAAATCCCTTTAAATTCACATTGTTCCATGGTAAAACCCATCTTAAACATCCAAGTGTTTACATCTTTCATGGTAAAATCCATGGTGAACATTCATTTTCTAAAATATTGTTTTCATGCTTAAACCCATGTCTAACATCCAAATGTTCATGATCAAAGTGTGTTAAACCGTGAAACCCACCACTTTTTGCTTGACCGCCTCACCCATTTCTTCCCAGCCGAATTCGCACCGGCACGTCACAGAGAATTTGCCGCCCGTCAGAGCCCCAGAAGCACCACCTGGGGGATGGCGTCACCAGAAGAATAATTTCACACTAAAAAATGGGATAAGTATGGATAAGTCATGATATCATCGGAAATATCTCCCCTAGATCTAACATGATCATACATGATCTATCACACAACACATAAATAACGTGTATCATAATAGTCATGATAAGTCACTTAGGGGACTTACCAAAAAACAATACTAACCAGGTGAAATTTCAGCACTAGGCTGATCCTCCAAGTAGGCACCCTCCGAAAAAAACTGCTCCGTGGAAAATTCACCCCAGACTCCAGCGGAGTTGGCTTAGTTGGACCGAAGATGGAAAGTGACCAGATCTCAATGGAAAAAAACGGGATGTGGTATGTGGTCAAAATTGGATTTGAACAGCAGCTGGTGGACTCAATGGGGATTCGTGCAGCACTGGAAATCATGGACTTCATCAATAGAGACCCTAAGGATCCAAGTACCTTCTTAGGAAGTGTTTGGGATATAATTTACTATAATTTGGAGGGTTAAGTACCTTCTCGGACATTGTTTGGATCCATAGGGAGATGAATAGCTGTGCAATCAGAAGTTGATTACAATAAGATAATGAGGGACGAATCGCTGAGATGCGTGGCAAGGACCTGGAGAACTAAGCAGCATTCTGAAGGTAGAAGCCGGAACGGGCCGGAACTGATGTTTACGAAGCCTACATGATCCTGAGGAAACCAATGACTATCAATGTGCAACACATCTTCCAGCCAAAGAAACATGTAGCTGACCGTGTATCACTGAAGTAGTAATCCACTAACACTGCATACCCTCAAGAAGAGACCAACAAAAATGGAGGGAATATCCCACATATATAAAATGAACAGATCCAATACCAAACCAGGATTTCTACGTGGGATATGTCATATTCCCAGTAAATGCCCATGAAATCCTATTAAATCACCATCAAATCGCATGAAATCCCAATCAAGCCCCATAAACTCTCATGAATTGAATCCGATACTAAATCCTCAGTAAATCGCAGCAAAAAAAACAATTCAATCTCAGTTGATCAGTATATAGCCCTTCTACGACATCCAACATCTCCCTCCTTCCATTTTCGCCCAAGGGCTCAGTGGATAAGGGGCAGGGGTACTTCAGCACCGAAAAACTGCGACTCGTGCTATACCTCGGCGTTGGATGATGGGTACTTGGGGCGCAGTTGAGGTTGCAAGTGGGTATAAAAAACCAACAGAATCCAACATAACATTAAAATAATTATGGTCGTGTATCCACTTATAACGGGAACTGCACTTCTAGGACTGAGTTCAACCCCATAGACATGTGGGGGATATGGTGAGGATCTGCTCCCAGCCACCATGGAAGCTGTTCGAAGCTTTAGGAGCATTCAGCAATATGCACATGTGTTAATTCTCTGAAGTGAACTATATAAATCATATATATAGTAATATAACAATATCGTCTTTTGAAATTTGTTTATCTTCCACCTGGTTCGTTGCTTCAACCCCTCCGAAATAGTAAGTTATGGATAGTTATTGGACAAGGTCAACTGGGAGCCGAGTAAACCCCGATGGAGAAACCATCCAGGCATTGGATCGACACTGGTGTCCGCACAGACTTTTCTCAACAAGCGCGCCATCTCGTTGCTTGGAACGCATGGAGTGAAAATTGGAATCTACGGGTGCCACACTACCAAGACCAAAACACAACGGACAAGTTCTGTGGACTAAAGACAACCGGACAGGAACCTCAGAATTCAAAAACAAATGCGTAAACACTCACAAAATTCACTGCAGTGGTTGATAAGAAAATCTGTCAATCCTCAACTCTGGAAGTTGAACGCTATATTTTCATATATGTTCCACATGTTTTTCCATATATGTTCCTTAAGCAACATGAGCCCCGTCAGGACTTGGCAGGGTAGTGCCGTGCACCAAAAATGGAGGAGCCCACGCGCACGGAGGTGGAGCCTTCGCGGATGGCGTTCTCGTAGTCCGCGCCTGGTGAAGCGAGGTGGAAGCGACGGGAAAGTACTCCCTATCTGAACGAAATTCCTAAATGATCTACTATACGATACTAAACTATCCAATCTAATCTAATCTAATCTAGTCTAATCTAATCTATCCTATCCAATCTAGTCTAGTCTAGTCTAATCTAATCTAATCTAATCTATCTATCCTATCCTATCTTATCTGATCTTATCTATTTATATATTATCTTTTCTATCTTATCTATCTATATATCTATATCTATATCTAAATAAATATACATATTTATACAGCAATTTTAAATGGATCTATAACTGGGATGAAGCACTAAGTATGGATTGCTCAGTGTTTCGTCGACTAAAACAATGATTACCTTGGGTTTCGGTGGGGGTTGCCCCCATAGTTCATGCATGGAAAGAATATGAGGAGTGAATTATCTATGTATGTATGGAATGATCCTGATGGTTTGATACCAATCCTTGAGGTTCAATCCCCATCTTTTAGAGGGACAAACGTATGTGACATGTATAAATGATTGAACTTGTCATTTACATCATTGATGTTTGTCAACTGTTCATCACTTCAAGCAAAATTTCTCTGTTTCAACATACCCTCTAGTAAATTAACATAGACCCTGAAAATAAGCCATTTTTTAGTGGAAACCAGTCTTCCAACCCTATCTGCCAGGGTCTAGGTTAATTTACCGGAGGGTATCTCTGTTCATCACTTCAATCCAATCTTCAATCTTCCATTCAATCAATCTCTTTGGATCCACCTGATCTTTACCATCTTTCATCATGGGATTATCTAATAATAGTGGTTATAATACCAATGTTGTAGTGATTATATGATGGCTATATGATGGGATTTTAAATATATATATATAATGTATCATCCAGAAATCCATCATTAACTCAGGTACCATCATCTCAGGTACCGAGCCTGGTAAATGGGCTAAAATAACTGGTTGGAAAATCACAGCATCTTTAAGTTCGGTAAATCAAATATTTCGACTGAGGCCATGGCTTCAAGTTCGCAAAGTGTTAGTCATTACCAGACGTTATATCAATCATCAATGTTATGAACCATCCATCATCATTCATATTATCAACCAATATTAACCATTACTTAACCATCATCAATCCATAAATCAGACCATGACTTAACCATTACTTAACCATTAACAACCACTATTAACCATTATAAAATCCATAAATCCATAAATCAACAATTGACATAAATTAACCACATTAATAACTATTAACCATTAATCATGAACCATTGTTAATCATCAATCCATAAATCCCCCAGATAGGCCAGGCCATTGGATCTGAGCCACTCATCCCCATGGAGAGCTCCAAGGATTCCAGCTCCAGCCCACAGCAGGCGGCGGCCTTACGACGCTTCGCCGAGGCCGGATGGGCATTTAACTCATGTAACCAACAAAAAATAGCTGGTTGGTGGTTGGTATACCTACCCCTCTGAAAAATCATGGAGTGAGTAACAGTTGGGATGAGTTTAATCCCAATATATGGAAAAATAAAAAATGGTTCAAACCACCAACAAAAAATAGGCATGTAATCTATAGAATCAGAATTTAATCAACAAAACTAAACATCTAACCGATCTAACCAGCCAAAAAAAAGTTCAATGGATTGGTTGTCTTGGAGAAAAACTGCGAGACCAGTTGTTCCACCTCAGAGATGGATCCGGTTCGACAGAAAGCCGGGGTTTCCATTCACCGCAACATTGGCTGTGGCTTTCCATTCACCGCAACATTGGCTGTGGCTGGAGGCTGTCTAAAGATATATTTACGTGGCTGGAAAACACAAATATGTTTGATTAGATTGGGTTCGTATGATGTTGGGAAACCGCCACCAATTGTTCCATTAACGTGGTCATTTGGGGGCGTGCTCCATTTTCAGACAGACCCACATGGAGATGTGTGATTGAACATTGGTAATAATTTCGAATACGATGATATTTAAGGAAGAAACGTTGGGATTGCTCCAATGAAATCTGAGCTAATTGGGGATGCAAAATGATTAAAGGATATTGCAGAAAAAAACATGTGATCAACCAGCAAACTGGAGATGTGTTTATTGTTTCAAGGATGTTTCTGTTGCCCATCTCTAACGGTTTCCCACATGGGGGCTCCACAAAGGCCATATGCGAGAAACACAGGGCTTAGTGGGAAAAAATGGAAATCCCCGTGGTATGCGTATATATATATACATATATATATATAGTACAGACGTACAGTAAATATATATATATATGTCTATATATATAATATCTGTAATGAGTATAGCGTTGTCTAGCTGGGGCATTTTCCGGCAAGTCATGTTTGAACTACCAGAGAGTCATGCTTCATCACTTGTTGTCCTTGTTTGTTATCAGCCAACCAGTGGGAAAATATGACGAGTTGGTGGCCCAAAAAATCCCGGACGAAGCCGTGAACAGCACAGAAATCCCATGTCTCCCCATAGAGCTGGGCTTCTTGATACCCTGGTTATTCCTATTGACTATTGAAAACCACAAATTGAAGTAAATGACCTATGGACACATTGCCAAAATCACATTGTTGATTAGTAATGTAAGATCTCATGGTTTCCTATTGATTATGCACACACACATACACGGCATACACGTATCTCTATTTATATAATTCTATGCATTTCTATGCATATATATATACACATAATATTACATAATTTTACATATTGTTGCAATATTATCCTTCACATACTTTGCCATCAAATCTACCCGTTTTTGGTGTCCAGTGCCTCCTCCCGGCATTTCTTCAACGTCTCAAAGTCCTGGTCCCGGCTGAAATGGAGATAATTAGGGTGTTTCCATCAATGGGGAAATCCCCAATGGTTTGTTTCATGGAAATCCAATGAAAATGTGGTTTATATGGTTTAGTTTATTTCATGGACATCCGAAGATAAAATGGATAATTTAGGGGGTGAACCCAACCAAAAACTGAGATTTGACCAAAGCACATGATGCATCATTGGCTTTAATATCACATTCAACTGAGGCTTCAATGCCTTCAATGGTACAAAGCATGTTGAAGTGAATTTGTTCAAGGGAACATTCCAGTAAACAATTGTTGATATGCCCAAATCGAAAGGGCTCCCCCTATTTTTTACGGAATAAACTATGAGATCCAAGATTCTGAGGTGGCCATGGTGTAAGTTTCGACAGGAGCAACCGTGCAACCTGCCCAAAAATTGGGACACTTATAACATCTTATAACATGATATAACATGGTTTTGCCTCCCATGAAACACTGAGTCTCCATAATCTCATCGAATTGAAGATGATCGAACCATGCCATTTCAACCTTGCACAGGATGCAGTGTCAAGTGAGTCAAGTGACTGATGTGTTTACCTTGAAACACGAAACCGTGTCCTCTGTTCGGCAGCCACTGTAGTCAGGGGCGCCAATGGTCATCAGACCCACCTGGGCACTCCATGGAAGGCCATGGATGTCCACGTCCTCCCTTGATGTTAGTAAGCATGGCTGGTACATTCCCCTCATTTCGTTTCAAGAAGATTCTAGCTTGATTCCGCTTGATAAGAGTTTTCCTTATATTTGTTTCACTGTGTATATCAGATATCATACATATCCGTGAAGCGCAAAAAATGAGGAATGGATGCAAACATGATACAAATCAAGGAAAAAAAATCACCACAGATCTTTGTAAGAATCACCATATAGAATCACCATAGAATCACCGTAAATCATACAGTAAAATGTGAATCTGTTCAAACCGTTGCGGCATGGATGGGCCATCCGAGAGCTTCGCACCTCAGCCACAGCATCCCATTCCTCTGGCGAGTGACTAATCTCAAGCCTTCGCATTCCTCAGTCCAATCGCCCACTCATGGAAAATTATGGCAATAATATCACAATATCTACATTTTAATATATATATTAATAATTTAATATCCATATATAGTACATAAAATAAATAAAGTATAGGTGTCCTCTTGACTCTTAAAGAGCCACAAAGACAGAGAGACAACACGTGAAACAACCCCCTTGGTTTCAATCGGCATGACTAGTCAAGATTATACCCCTACAACGGATGGTACAGAAATGGCCAATCACTTATCTAGGTGACATACATACACACATAAAAATACACATATATATATATATATAGGTATATTATATATATATGTAAATGCATATAAATATATATATATATAGAGAGAGAGAGAGTATATCCGAAGTTGTAATGCTTATTTTGTCAGAATCTCCAATATTGATCAAAATTGTACTCTTTAAATGGTCAAAGTGATGGGTATAAGCTCCAGAATTATACTCCTTATCCGGTCAGAGTTATTTCCTATCATTTCCAAAATTATACTCCTTAAGTGATTTTTATAGAGTCCCCGCAAAAACTTCCTCATCTGAAAAGCCACATAATATATAATAGATCCTGACATGTACTCACCATATCACATAAATCCCATATGCTTATATATATATACGCATAATCATCATACATTATAATTATATATTTATATATATATATATATGCATAATTATATATGTATATAATTAAATATCTATATATATGTATATATATATATATATCGATATTTCTGATGACATATACTAACCATATCATTTTGTTTGCCTGTGATGTTCACTTTTTTTTTGTTTTTCGATGCTAAAACCTTACAACCAACCCGACCGATCATTCCGCCCAGCAGCTGTGGCAATGACCTTGCACAGATTTGCCACTTCCGCTGGCTCCACGCCATTCCTCAGGTCTTCGAAACAACTCAGGAGGTTCATCGAAGACAACAACTTTAAGATGAATTTAGCCAACATGTCAAAATATATCAGAGTTCAAGGACATGGTATGATATGGTTCATGTTGTAAAATAGAACTTCAAGGATGTAATGTGTCTATATATGTCAATATATAATTTATATGAGTTCAACTGATTCTAGGACTTTCCGGCAATTCAACATGTCACGTATCGTGCAATTTGAGTCGGGCGAGAAACAAATGATTCCACCTATAGCAACAATTTGGGATTCAACCCTGCAAACACTGGATTTTTAATCGGCAAATGTCGGACATCAACTTGGCGGAAATTGGGAATCGCCAAACTTGTTTGTATAAATTTGAACCAGATCTTTCAAAACGTAAGCGGTCAAAACATGCGCTGGTGAAAGTGTTGGAATTTCAGCTGAGAAAAAAACAGCTGACCAACGACAATCGCCAGTTTTAAGCACGGCAATCTCACTTTAATAGCCCGGTACTAAAATGTGGATGAGGACATTACCATTAAATCACCATGAATCACCATTGATCACCATTAATTGAAACCACCAACCAGGTCTCGCTTTTTGAATATGTGCATATCATCTTCCCGAAGATTTCCGGAGATTTCCAGGCGTGCCACAGTGACACCCTTGGAGAGTCAAATGAAAACCCGAATCATGAATAAGATATAGCAAACAAACAAATAAACAAGTGAAATTATATAAAACCAGTGAAGGACAAGATAAAATAAACCAAACTGAAAAAATATATATAACAAGATAGATAGCTCGGGCTTGGGGACTCTAAAACCAATAGATAGATCCTGTGTCTCCCACTGAACAGGCATCCCCACACAAGCCTCAAACATCATCTGTCAATGTTGTGTCCCATGTGCAAGAGTTGTTGATCGTCCACCTTCCACCGGTTAGTTTTAGACTTGAAGACTTAAAGAGAGCCCATTATAGAATTTTACAGGCCCAAAGATGGCTATTTACTTTACCAATCATACATTTTTCCCAACATGGTAATGTTCCAGCAAATGAAGTAGACGACTAAAACATGGTATAATACATGTTAACACACAGTCCTATACACAATACTTACATGCACACACAAACACATGTATATATATACACAGACATATACATACACCATAATGATATATAATAAATAGTTGTACACATATATATATATATTCACATAAATATATATATATATATACCATATATACATACCCATTCGTATCCAACATCCAAGTGCCATTTTCAAACTTCCATGGGCCGAGCATCTTCGTTTCTTCGCCACTAGAGTTCACCTGTACCATGACCCCCAGCGGCCGCTCGGGATACGCCGAGCGCCAGGCTTTGTCCAGCGCGCGCGCAAGTTTTTCGCTGTCAATGGTCCTGTTCAACTCGGATGTCGGCAGAAAAGCAGCTAAATGGCACAGTTGCTGCAAATCAAGAAAATAAAAACGGAATTTGCCACGGAAAGAAAAAAACATGTACATATTTTATGATATTTGATGTTGTTTTCCAAAAGGAATGGATTTGGACAGCACCTTGGAATACAGTTTTTGGATGTTGTTGGAAGTGAAACCCGCAAAAAAAATGGAAATTCAACCAACAACAGCAGAGCTTCACCATGCAACCTCCTACTGGGGATTTTCTCAGCCAACGGGTTTTCCAGCCTCTTACTGTTGTGGAACTGAATTTTCCAATTCTTCAGGGGGCATTCATGTGAAACTCGGGAGTTTTTCAACCATTGCCACCGAACTTTAGAACAAGTTGCTGCTATTCTTCAATGATAGGCAACTGGTGTTGGCCTATCCGCAGAATATGATGCTCGTCATCTCATTCAATCATCCTTTAAGTATGGTTGGAAAATAGCCCAACTTTTACATATTTGAAACCACCAATCAGGCAAATATTGAATTGGACTGTAGCTCATGCATAACTTACATCAACCAAGGATTAGTAAAACCTGAGTCCACCAATAGGTGTGGGTCCTCAAAATATTGACAAAATCAAATTCTAACACGGCACCCGCCATGTGAACTTGTCCATCCCCAAAAAAAATGCAATGCAAGTTGCGAGAACTGCTAGGTTTTGATGCTACCCCATTCTCAATCAAATCTATAGTAAGCTGAGGTTGTATCACTGGGTTGACATCATCATTCGAATCTGCCATTCAGCCGAGCTGCTCTAAGCACGCCAGCCCCGGGCAGCCTTTCACCAACATGCCAACTTTATTGCCTTGGCACAGTCTTTGATGGATAGACCCAGTGGAGAGCTCTTGCACCCTTGAAAACCAACACCTGGAACCAGAAAACATGGTTTTTGAACATGATTCTATATGACGATGTTCCTGCTGAAACTCAATATTTTTCAGTTTCATGTTCCCTTTCATGTGGCCTTCTGAATCTTCTAACCCCTACCCAGTGCCTGCTGGCAGCTGTCAAGCTGCTCTGCAAATGGCCAATGAAATGCCACTGTACATCTGCCGGCATCAGTGGGCTTTTTTCGATCAGCTCTTGCACATAGTTTTCCCCAAAATGTCCTCGGCCCGAAATCACCAGGCTGCCGGTGACCGTTGAAAACGTGTGCTGGGTTGTGTAGGAATCTACACCTTGGTTACCCTCCGCTAATCAAAATATGGCAATGGAAAATCCTCATCTGTAGTCTACAGGAACCTGCGTATAGGCTACGTTTGATTACCACAAACAATGGTCACGAACACTGACATGAAGATCTGCAAAATTCCTGCAGGTCGGCTGATCTGCACTGCATTGACTAAAATGTCCCCAATATCCTAATAGCTAGAATCATCTAGATCCCATCTGTTGGCTACCTATAGTCCGATACATTCCCGTTTGTTCATCTTATATATGCTGCTGACTTACCCTCTGGTAAACGTTTACATAACTATGGAAAATCACCATTTTTAATGGGAAAACTCACTATAAATTGCCAGTTTACCAGAGGGTATACCAGTTCACCAACGGTCAATTTGGAGTCCATGGCCATCATGGCCCTGGTCCAAGCTTCGATGTCCAGCATCGTAAGCGGCCTTCAAGTCCTGACTTATGGTGACGTCATTCCACTTTGTTGGTGAAGAAAGAGCTTACTCTCTGGTAAATTAAGAGTTTGACCCTGAAAATAAGCCATTTGTTAGTGGAAACCAGTCTTCCAACCCCGAAAAATGCCAGGGTCTATGTTAATTTACCGGAGGGTAACTGGCTTACCTTGGGGATTTTAGCCAAGATGGAATGTCAAGTCTTAGAAAGAAATAAATTGGGGACAACGGTATGACCCACTTGGGATGGGTGCCTGATGTGGCCATTGCAGGGATATTGATATATATATATATAATACCGAAGGGGATGATCAGTGAAGTACTTTCACCAGCGTTGACGGCTTCCTGCTTCTCTACTCGCCAGAAAACCTTGGGATCTTCCAGGCAGAACCCGGTACCAAAAACACACTCCCCAATCTTTGGGGACTAAGACATATCCACGGCACAGAACTACACGCACACACGCACACACCTACACACATCTACACACACAGATATGTATATATACACACTATTATTATTATTACTATTATCATCATCACATCATCATTATTATTATGGATATGTTCATTATCAGTATGACGACTATTATATCATTATTATTCATTATCATGTCTTCAGTTATCATTATTATTCATTATCATGTCATCAGTTTTTTCCTTTATCTTTTCCAACCGAACTCCATCGATCCTCCACGGGTTTGGTCTTGCTGACTGCCACCAGTCGCGGCACCAGCGGCTCCAGCTTCAACAAGCTGGCACGGGAGGCGGCCGCCGCGTGCACCTGCCAAGTTCGCTGGGGAAATCCAAAGGTTAACTGTGGAAAATGGATGAACATGGACCATTTGGATCCATTTATGGACATATAAATGGGCCATTTATGGATGATCTATGATGATGTACAGTAATCAAAACATAAACCATTTTTTTACATGATGATCTTCCATATGTTGAATAATCAGTTGGTAAGTTTGGTTCGCAAAATTCACCACAGGCAAGCCATCAGTTTTGGGTTTGAAAGGCATGCAATGCATGCAGAGTTCGAAAACTTAAACCGGATGGACAACCAAGTACTGTAACTTGCCTATCCAAAAAATCTTCAATTTGGAGAATGTTTGAGACAAATTGGCCTATGCAGGTTGGAAAATGTGAGAAAAATGTTTGTAGGACTGTGGGGGGTGCATTCCAAGTAGTATGTGGTGAATAACCCATACATTTAAATTTGACTCGTGTATCTCATGGCATATCCAACGTACAAGTAAGTTCTATTGTGATGGTAAATTGATTATATATTATTATTACCTACTTAGGAACTGGGATGCACATTCAAGTAGCTTTCCTATCCGAAAAATGAAAAAAAACTCGGTTGGCATAGAAACAATAATCAGCCAGCCTAAGCTCGCGTCCGCAACAAAGGGCTGCCAACGCTCCCAATGTTTTGTTTCATTTTTTTTGTATATGAACACCCAACGACCACACGTTTAAAGTGCAACCCTTCATCATTTGTTAACTATTCATTGTTATTATCCATTTTTGGCTTATAAACCCAATGAACTATAAACCTATCTCCCATCATCCCAGAGATTCGGACATAAACTATACACCAAATGACCAAACCATATGGCCTTTATGGGCCTTTTGAAGCACCGCCCACCGGCACCTTCTCCTGCACTTGCGCCAGCTGTTCTGGAATCCCCATGACTGACGAGAGGCGACGGAAGCTCAAGCGCATGGCCGACGCAGCCGTGCGTCGCCGGCCCGGCTGAAGCCATGTTGGCGAGGCAATGGGTGTACCCTCCGGTATGGCATGATCAATATGCCAATTGTTCGTGAAGATTGCCCGCTGTTCAACAGGAAAAAGAACAAAACCCATAGACATCATATATGGTCAAAAAACATACCTATATATATATATTATATATATATATTCATATATAAATACACACACACATATATATATTATACACATTCCCCGTTCAAGGTGGTAAGTGTTTTTCGAACTGGTGAGGAACATGTGCCCCAAGGTGTTGCAACAAATCAATCAACCCATCCCCTCCAGGCTATACACACGGCGGGAACCTGAAGAAGGGGGTGCCAAAGATGATTTTACCAGTGGAGATGTTACCAAAGATGTCCTTTTTGTTGGATTCCATTTTGAATTTAGGGGGTGTATTACCAGTTCAAAATGAATTTTACCATGAATTTACCATGAATTTTATGGATGTCATACCAGTTCTTCTTTCTGATCATGTGGTCACATCATTTCTCTCCCTAACTCTGACGCTACTTTCCAGCTACCGATTGACCAACAGGTGACAAGGACTGGTACCCGCGAATCACACGTGAGAGTCACAGCTGATGTCATCACTTTTCTCCGATTACGTGGCAATTGGATGTACCACTTCGTAAATTCACATAACCTGGAAAATGGCAAAATCTACACTATTTACCTAGTATAATGATCAATTTCCACATGAATTATGTTGAATTACCGAGGGGTAACATGTCGCAACTTCATGTTTGTTCACCGGCTAATTATCCCTAGTCTCGGCCAGTGAAAACCTTATGGTAGTTCTGCAGGTTGGTCACCGGTGATATTCGCATATCTCTTCTTGCCAGGATTGGAAAGTGTTCAGGTAGATAGACACATGTTTTAATCATAATGTCTGAAGGCGAAAAACACCAATGTTCATCGCACATCCCATTTCCATCCATTTCCATTGGTGATATGCCCAGTCCTTGGTTGCTGTTGAGTCCACAGTTTGGTGGTGGCATTGGTTGTCATTGCGACCCTGGTTGGAAGATTATATTCCCCATATTTGCCCACGATATACCATGGTATCGCCGTATCGACATTATAGCACCATTTTTCTCAGCGATTTCATGTTAAATCACCTTTCTCTTGGTTTAACCGCGTAATCCAGAAATAGTTTTCTTGGTTCAACCGTTCAACCCCCATGTTTGTTGAATCACCGAACCAGCAATCCCTCCAGCCGGTCGTCGAGTTGCTGGGCCACCAACAGGGCGCGCACGAGTTCTTCGTGCCGTTGGCAGCGCATGGCCAAAGACCGCGACTTCCTGAACTCAACCGGAGACACCGCGACTTCCTAATTTAAGATGTAGCCAGTGTAGCCCCTGAAGATATACTAAGCAAACGAGAACTGTACAATATGATAATATGTAGTCTATTCAAGTAAGCCACTAGAAATCGTCTCAGCTGTTGGCTGCAAAATCAACAGTGGCAGTCAAGGTCGAGTTGCCGTTGCCGGTGTTCCAAAGTGTAGTCGGGTCATGCCGTATAGATCCACATGGCTGGTTCAATCCCTAAGTTGCCTAATCCTTCTTTTTGTTGTTGCTTGCGTACCCATGAAGTTGTGGGGAAAGTGAGAAATTGCTGAAGGTCCATGGTAGGTTCCAAGGTTTTGCAGTCCTGAATTCCACCAGATTTCCCCCAATTTCTGCCGAATTTCCACCAGATTTCCGCTAAGGCCCCTATCATCCCCTATCACTGAATCTTTATAGCTAGGAAAATCATCGGGAACATCCTTAAATTTTCGATCCACCACCGGGAGACTTCCAAAGATTCCAAAGTTCCAACGGGAGACTTCCAAGGCCGAGTTTCCACTTGTCCAACCTGGGTTTCTTTTTCAACTTTGGCGGCCTCGCCACATCCAACTCCGCTGAGGGAGGCCAGAAACGTACCACCTGCGCTGCAGATTGACATACCGAGAACCACCCCCGGGTGGAATTCTCAAATGTTCACCCTGGATTTCAGTAGCCACATGGGCCACATGGGTTTATATTATCAGTACTATTGTTATTATTAATTGTTATTGTTTATGTAATCATGTTTATATTATATGATATATGTATATATCATAGAATGACTTGTTTAAGTGCCCGAGTTCGATTTCAACTCAGCAACTTCTAGTTTGTCTTACTATCTGGTCTGACCCCTAATCACGCCGGGTCTTGTCTGCGGTTGAAATTACCATCAGTGGCACCCTGAAAGGATCTCTGCTACCACAAAAAAGCGGCTCTTGTGTGTGGTGCACCTTACAGTTTCCAGTGGTACCTCAAATCAGCATATAAGATTATACAAGATTATACAAGTATGTGGAATCTACAAACATCTAAAGACATCTAACTTCAACTCAAGTGGATCCAACTGGATCCAGTGTAGCAAAACAGGAACCGGATAGCCACGGCCTCCTCCCATTCACCACCGGGAAGTTTCAGGAACCAGGTGTCAACCCCTGCGACTTCGATGACATGTCTTGCCTGAGAGACTGGGAGTTTGCCTTGATTTCTGTATTTAAAAAAACCAGAAGACAAAAAAAAAACGTGAAATAATATATATGGTATATTGTGGCAAATCGGAAAATCACCTGTCCTTACAATTTGTTGGAGCTACTATAATTGTATAAAAATGCCCAAAATGATGGTAGCACCCCAAACAGTGCCCGTAAAGTGGCTCTAGCAAATGGATATGTAACAAGTGTCCACCATTAAAAAAAACATGTGCCTTTCCCAAAATAAACACATTTGATCTGGTAATTTCACATCGCTATGGAACATGACTCATTTTAATTTAATTTTAGTAAACATTGATAAAATTGTGTTTGTCCATAGCTATCTTAAATTATGCAAATACAGTAACCTTACAGAATCTTCAAGAAACAAATGCGTTTCTCACCGAAAAATTATCTCACTGAAATGTCTGACGACTTGGGTTTCTCTGAGGATATGGTACCCCCCAAATCCAGTGGTTTATCATCAATTTATGTGTTAAACTATAGCCATAAAAATGATTCAAAATGTGGATATACCACAGTTTCGGACACAAGTTGCGTTTATATCCCATGATTGTTCCATATCATAGCAACCACAGATTTTCGAAATCTTGAAACCTGGGAAATCTTTGTGATATCTTGTGGTAAACATCACCAACTACCATCCTGGGGGCCCTCAAACAGCTCACAAAAATGTCCCAGTCGCCGCGATGGCCGAAGCAGACTCACCCTTGGGCCCAGGAAGCCCCTCAGGTGGTGGACAGTAGCTGGGCTCCTGGCCATGCGACAAGTTGAAGGGTTGGAAACACAACAATCCAAATCTATTAATGGTTGGTTAGTTAGTTATATAGTTTGCTAGCTAGCTAGTTAGTTAGTTAGCTACTCAGTTGGTTAGTTAGTTAGTCTGTGTGTTAGTTTGTTTGTCAGTTTGTTAGTTTGTTAGTTAGTTTGTTTGTTAGTTTGTTTGGTTGTTGGTTTGTTTGTTGATTTGGTTAGTTGGTTGGTTGGTTGGTTGGTTCGTTGGTTCGTTGGTTGGTTGGTTGGTTGTGGTTGGTTGGTTGGTTGGTTTGGTTGGTTCGTTCATTGGTTCATTGGTTGGTTTGGTATGGTTTGGTTGGTTTGGTTGGTTTGGTTGGTTTGGTTGGTTTGGTTGGTTTGGTTGGTTGGGTTGGTTGGGTTGGTTGGGTTGGTTGGGTTGGTTGGGTTGGTTGGGTTGGTTGGGTTGGTTGGGTTGGTTGGGTTGGTTGGTCGGTCGTTTGATAAACAATTGTTGTACAATAACTACCAGTAGGATCCAGTAGGCCACATTGTACGTCATAATATAGCATCCCCACAAGAAAAGAAACATACACAGAAAAATGTTCAATCTGCCAGCTGCTGTTCATCCCCAGACCCAGAGCAAAAACAGCATCGGTTCTGACCTTTTGGCAATGGAAGCTCCAAAGGCGACCATGACGACAAACCCAAGGGATCGTAAGGGCTGCGGCTAAGTGAACCTCTGATATGATTTAAGCTAAGTGACCTTTTCCAGGTAAATCATAATCAAAAGCAAAAGAAACACATGGCCTGGTCCAGTTAAACTGATTTGTCCTGATTTGTTCGAAGCGTGTTTTTCTGTTCTGAGGGTTTGAACTCTTGTTGCATGTTTTCTCCAGGCGGCACTTGGAATCTGAACCATGAATTTCTCTTCCGATTCCGGGGTATCCATCAAAAATCAAACCTCAGCAAAGCTGTCTGGAAGACCAGGCCCTAAAGAGCTTATGAGCATATATAGATATATAATTTAATCATATATAATAGTATCCCTTAGAAAAACACATCGGAAACATTGATTGCCGTTGCTACATTGTTTATCACCATGTTATTTTGTTGTTCCCTTTTTTTGGGGGGGCGGTTGCTTGGCATCTGCAGTTTACTTGAAGTCTTGGGTCTCTCCAGGTGTCTCTTTGAATCAAGGACTTGGGGCGTTCGGAAATTATGGCTCCGAAGCGGTTTTCAAACGTATGTTCATCCTTCCGTTTATGTAGAATATTATATGTGCTCGGAAAAAATCATGCACACAGTATTCATCACCATTTTCAATGGGAAAACTCCCTGTAAATGGCCATTTTCAATAGCTTTTTGTATGTTTACCAGAGGGATCCAGAGGGTATATACTGTTCATAGTCATAGTCGGTGTCAATCCATCAGATCTTTGGGATTCCACAGAGGCAGAAAAGGTCCTCCTCCTCTTCCAGGTAAGGATGTTCTTCGTAGGTCTCCTGATGCATTGGGAAATCCGCGGGAATGATCAATTTTCATGGGCGAAAATTAGTATCCTATTCTAATGGCTAAACTGAGCATGGATGGCAAATAGCGTATGTTTTTACAAAATTAGGTTAATATACACGCATATGCATATTAATATACATATATAATGCAAATATCCATGGTCAATTTTCTCACTTTGTTAATACATGTGTT